TTATAGAAAATAATATTAGAAGTAACTGTTAATTGAACAATTTTCTTCTCCAAACATAAATAACAGATATATTCCATAAAATATAAAAACGGTCTCCCATAAAGTACCCCCCAGATGTTCCGACTTTGTCCAAAATCTAATCATTGCACGTCAGGCCGAAATAAACCTTAAGTTTAAAATTTAATGTTTTTTTCTATATCCGTTTTTGAGTTTTCTTCAAAATTCGAAATTTACACATTTTCTTAAATATCTCGAATACGGTCCATTTTAGAGAAATTATGTATAGAATAAAAATTATAGAGAATTATATTACAAACAACTTTTATTTGAACAATTTTTATAAAAAATTATTTTTTTTACATTTTGTCAAATTTCTCGAATACGGACCATTTTAGGAAAATTTTGCATATAACAAAAATTATAGATAATTATATTAGAAGTAACTTTTATTTGAAGAATTTTCTTCTCCAAACGTAAATAACAGATATATTCCATAAAATATAAAAATGACCACCTATAAAGTACCCCCCCAGATGTTCCGACTCTGCCCAAAATCTAATCAGCTCATTGGACGCCGAAACAAAGCTTAAGTTTAAAATTTGGTGTTTTTCTGTGTATCGGTTCATGAGTTATGCGTTATACAGACACACACACACACACACACACACACAGACACACAGACACACAGACACACACACACACACACAGACATCATCGCGAAAATAGTCAAAACGGATTCAGGGGACCTCAAAACGTAAAAATCCGTCGAAAACTCGAGGTCGAAAAAAATCATGATTCCTATACTTTCCTTATATCTGTATACAGATAGGAAAGTAAAAATCTGATGTGTCCAACACATGACTTTCCTATCTAGTTATTACAGGCTTTTTCCGTTTATTGTGTATAACCTATTGCAGCATCTCTATAAATGTTTAGAGGATAAACTAAATATATACATTGTCCACATGCATCTACCGCGAAACATTTTTCTATAGATATTCATTGAAAATGAAAATACTGAAAAATTTAAATTTAGCACTTTTCCTACAATTTTTCCATTACGGTCCATTTAAAAAAAATCATGTATGAACAAATATTATAGAGATCGATATCGCAAACAACTTTTATTTCAAGAATTTTCATAAAAATCAGAATTTTGCACATTTTGTCAAATTTCTCGAATACGGACCATTTCAGGAAATTTTTACATAAAACAAAAATTAAAGATAATAATATTAGAAGTAACTTTTATTTGAACAGATAACAGATATATTCCATAAAATATAAAAACGGCCTCCCATAAAGTACCCCCCCAGATGTTCCGACTTTGTCCAAAATCTAATCATTTCACGTCAGGCCGAAATAAAACTTAAGTTTAAAATTTATTGATTTTTTCTTTATCCGTTTTTGAGTTTTCTTCAAATTTCGAAATTTACACATTTTCTCAAATATCTCGAATACGGTCCATTTTAGAGAAATTATCTATGGGACAAAAATTGTAGAGAATTATATTACAAACAACTTTTGTTTGAACAATTTTTATAAAAAAATAATTTTTTTTACATTTTGTCAAATTTCTCGAATACGGACCATTTTAGGAAAATTTTGTATAGAACAAAAATTATAGATAATTATATTAGAAGTAACTTTTATTTGAAGAATTTTCTTCTTCAAACGTAAATAACAGATATATTCCATAAAATATAAAAAAGACCACCCATAAAGTACCCCCCCAGATGTTCCGACTCTGCCCAAAATCTAATCAGCTCATTAGACGCTGGAATAAAGCTTAAGTTTGAAATTTGGTGTTTTTCCGTCTATCGGTTCATGAGTTATGCGTTATACAGACACACACACACACACACACACACACACACACAGACACACACACAGACACACACACACACACACACACACACACACACACACACACACACACACACACACACACACACACACACACACACACACACACACACACACACACACACACACACACACACACACACACACACACAGACATCATCGCGAAAATAGTCAAAACGGATTCAGGGGACCTCAAAACGTAAAAATCCGTCGAAAACTCGAGGTCGAAAAAAATCATGATTCCTATACTTTCCTTATATCTGTATACAGATAGGAAAGTAAAAAGCTATTTAAAACATTACAATAGTTATACTAAAAACAAAAATAATTCTACAAAACATATTTTGATCTAAAAATCAATCGTTTATGCAAAAATTGTTTCACATTTTGAGAATAAAGGCATTAAATTAAACCATTTAGAAACACTTGAAATAAATAGATTTAAAAATTCTAATATCCTCTTAAGTGATCAATTAGATATTAATAACTGAGCTTAATTAAATCTCTTTACCTGTTCTTAGTTTTCTGTGAGATAATCCCGGTAATGATATCTTATTGGAATTTTATTAATATATTTCTCTTATTTTTATTTCTTTAAATAAAAGTGTGAAAATCTACCATGTTTGGTTTTTCTCATTTTAATAATATGGATTTTCATCAAATAAAGGCTTCAATTATCAAGAAATTAAAATGAAATGGTATTAAATACTTACCACTTATATAGCCTATAAGTAGATACAAACAACATAAACAGTAAATCACAAATAAATAATGTTCATATGTCTTCGTCAGATTCTTCGTTGGAAGAAGACTCGTCACTGTCGTCACTGGAATCCTCATTAGGATTAATGACGATAGGATTAATTTCCGAACATAAATCAGTTTGTATTTCTCTTCCAAAATATTTATCTTCTACCTTTATAACATGATCGCATCTCTTTTTCTATTCTTCCATACCGATTTTGTTAAATTCTTCTTCTGCTAATTGTTTTACGTCTTCTAATTTAAAGGTAACATTCCTTTGAGTGACATTATTCTTAACAGTTGCCCAAATCAATTCGATAGGGTTCAAGACGGGGTGATATGGGGGTAACCGTAAAGCGGTGTGGCCGTATTCTCGACACAACTCATCAAATGCATATGTTACATGTCGGTCCTTATGAGATTTAATCAGTTCATATAACTATGGTTTCAAACTTGTTGGAATAAAAGGTATGTTGTATTTTGTCAACCATTCGATCATATCATTCTTCAAATAATTGGAATTAGGTGCTTGATTTGTCTGTACATTGTGATAACTAGCATAATCACAAACAAATACTGAATTAGGTAGAAGATTAGGTATTAACTTCTCTCTTAACCATTTTATCTGTCTCAAATATTTTACTCTTAAAGTTCTTATTTTTATTTTTTCCACCAAAACTTTACGATTATTTTGTGTTTTTCTCCACTTAAATTGTAATTTTTTAAGGACTCTTCTTAATGAAGTTTCTGATATGTGGATATCTAAATCTGTTATTTGAAAATCGTAAATTATTCTTCGAATATACAGTATGTCGCTAATGTATGGAATAAATTCATTATAATGGAAGTAGCTGGTTTTTCGAAAAAATGCTCGGACAGGTCAATTTTGTTTACTTAAAGCGCAATTTTTTAAATAAAATTCAATTTTCCCCACTTCCCATTTTTGGGCAGTGACGTCATTGACAATTTTTTTAAATAGCAACCCCAATTTTTTTTTCTTGATTTTGATAGATCTTGCAATTTCCTACTCGGAAACATGATATTTGAAATATCTGACATAACAATTTTTTTTGAAAAAAAGTCATTTCAAGATCAGATACATAAATTTTATGTTATTTTGAAACACAATAAATTAATAACAGATAATTATTTGTAATTAAATGCTTAATCTAACAAAATAATAATAAAAAAAATAATAATAAAAAGAATTTGTGAAATTGTCATTAAATTCGTTTTATTATTATTATTATTATTATTATTATTATTTTTTTAAATTAAGCACTTAATTACAAATAATTATCTTTTATTAATTTATTGTGTTTCAATATAACATAAAATTTATGTATCTGATCTTGAAATGACTTTTTTTCAAAAAAAATTGTTATGTCAGATATTTCAAATATTACGTTTCCAAGTAGGAAATTGCAAGATCTATCAAAATCAAGAAAAAAAAATTGGGGTTGCTATTTAAAAAAATTGTCAATGACGTCACTGCCCAAAAATGGGAAGTGGGGGAAAATTGAATTTTATTTAAAAAATTGCGCTTTAAGTAAACAAAATTGACCTGTCCGAGCATTTTTTCGAAAAACCAGCTACTTCCATTATAATGAATTTATTCCATACATTAGCGACATACTGTATTGATATTCAGGGAGATTTGTAGCGGTTGATTTTTTGACGAAGTTTTTCCTAGGTGTGGAAAATGTAATTTTTACAGTTGTTTCCATTGACTGTTTACCTTCCTTCAAAAATTTTTTAACGGTAGTATAAGAGAAACCTGTAAAAACGTAATATATTAATTTTAAATTTAGTATTTTTTTACATTTATTAGGAAACAAAAATCTTTAGAAACAGAAGATAAATTTAAAAAAATTAAATATAAAATATTAATCAAAAATAAAATGCATAGGTATGTGTGTAAAATACAAAAAATATTGAAAACTACTCAAGTTTAATTGCAAATAAACTACAGAATATGTTTACCTGTTGCTTGTGCAGTTTGAAGTTTGATATCATCTAAAGTAACTCCTTCATTTTTTGTTGCGTCAAAATATTTAAAAACATTGTATATTACTTCACGACTTTGTCCGTTAATAACAGATCTGCGCTTTTTTTTCACCCACAATACAAGACATTATCAAAAATAAAACCAGTTAATTTAACCAAAACACAGAAACAAATAATGATCTAGTCGTTACGCTACTGACCATAAGCAAGGACAAGGTTCAAATTGTGAATGGACGTGGCGATTTTTAAATAAACGAACTTGAGTATTTGCGCTGGTTCTTTAGATTTGGCGTTTACTGTACGATCCTGTAAAATAATTACTTTGTTTATAAAAAATAACTTTTATCCAACATTACATTAACTGACTGACTTGATTTTTTTAGATCTCTTTTGATAGTCCCTTGGAAACCAACGAAAGGCTAACCTGGGACGATATTAAAGACCCAGCGAAGGAGGTAAGCACCGCCGTGGAGGGGGTGCACGCCCTAGGGGGCCAACAGTCGCCCATGTCGCTGGCGATGCCATTTATCGACAACGACTTACTATGGAGTTCAGATCATGATGGAAAAATGGTGGATTTATCTTCTTGCCTTCAAGTAAGCGTTCATTTACACCTTTTCATTTTTGTTACTCTAATCTTAATCAGTATTTTATATTTTACTAGCGGACCCGACAGACGTTGTCCTGTCTTAACTATGAATATTGATTTCAAATTCGTATAATTAACTAAAAAAATATTTCAGAAACAAAGTGTTATATTCAGTTAGAAATAAATTAATTATTTTATTATGTATTTTATCAATATAATAACTCCGATCGAAGCATTTATTTTAAATGATATTCATCTTTGACGATATTTGCAGCACGCATTCTGTCAATGTTATGTCAAACGCCATAAGGTTAGATCAAAAAAGTTTGAATTGTAAAAGCGCTATGGTTACATTAGAAATAATTTAATATGGTGATATTCTTAAATTTTCTAATTTTCCGCGCAATTTTCTTAATTTTTTCTTTCTAAGAACCTTCTCCTGACAATAACAAACACAACAAAAAAAGAATTAGCGAAATCAGTCCAGCCGTTCACGCGTGATGCCGTGACCGAAAGAAATAGGTATTCATTTTTATATATATTCTTAAATTTTCTAATTTTCCGCGCAATTTTCTTAATTTTTTCTTTCATAAGAACCTTCTCCTGACAATAACAAACACAACAACAAACGAATAAGCGAAATCGGGCCAGCCGTTCACGCGTGATGCCTTGACCAAGGGAAATAGGGATTCATTTTTATATATATTCCTAAATTTTTTAATTTTCCGCGCAATTTTCTTAATTTTTTCTTTCATAAGAATCTTCTCCTGACAATAACAAACAAAACAAAAAAAAATTGGCGAAATCGGTCCAGCCGTTCACGCGTAATGCCTTGACCAAGGGAAATAGGGATTCATTTTTATATATATATTCCTAAATTTTTTAATTTTCCGCGCAATTTTCTTAATTTTTTCTTTCATAAGAATCTTCTCCTGACAATAACAAACAAAACAAAAAAAAATTGGCGAAATCCGGTCAAGCCGTTCACGCGTGATGCCGTGACCAAGGGAAATAGGGATTCATTTTTATATAAATTCTTAAATTTTCTAATTTTCCGCGCAGTTTTCTTAATTTTTTCTTTTATAAGATCCTTCTCCTGACAATAACAAATAAAACAAAAAAAAAATTGGCGAAATCGGTCCAGCCGTTCACGCGTAATGTCGTGACCAAGGGAAATAGGGATTTATTTTTATATATACCTATATATACTCGTAAAAAAACTAACCAATTATTGGGGAATTCAGCAAATAATATGTGAAAGAAAACTCTTTTTACTTCAGCCAAGCTATCGGAAATGCATTATTCATTTCCATCATCAGGGTAGACTACAAATAATGATGGAAATGAATTAATAAATTTCCGAAAGCTTGGCTGAAGTAAAAAGAGTTTTCTTTCACATATTATTTGCTGAATTCCCCAATAATTGGTTAGTTTTCTACTTAGTCAGCAACTACTACCTTTCTAGTTTTTCTTATACTCGTAAATATATGGGAAAAAGAAAAGGGCTGTTTTTAGGGTTTTTCCGGAAATTATTCGAATTTTTCTCGCTGTAAAAATCATCCTTGGACATCAACGAACATTTAAAAAAAAAGAATTGGTAAAATTGGTCCAGCCGTTGTTGAGTTATGTGCTTACCAACACATTTTGCGATTCATTTTTATATTATAGAAGATTTGTAGATATTTATTTTTGTTTGTTTTTAGGATGCCTCTGTGGCCACTGGTCAGCAAAACGGCGCCACTGGCGCGTCAGGAAGTCTGGGCGAATTGTCGCAATCCGATCTCAGTTCTTTGGTGCCTCACATGCAAGAACCTAATATGAACGATACCGACGACATTTTTAGGCATCTATCCGATACCACTGCCATTGAAATAGAAAACATTTTAAGTGAATTTAGTCAAACGCCTTATATAAAGGTAGGTAACTAAAAAAATTGAAAAGGATTAAGGAGTAAGTCTAAAAATAGAGTGCGATCCTTATTTAAATTTATTCTTACACGCCTATGTTCTCACATTGTATTATTTAATTGCTGCGTTTGAGAATCCACATCGGATGCATCTGAGATGTAAAAAATCTTTGATCACGTGATTCAGTATACGTAAATGTAATGGGACAGATGTGTCCGATGTGGATAAAAAAACGCTCGAGATGTAAAAAATGCATCCGATGTGGATTCTCAAACGCAGCACAAGTATGTAAATTTTTTCCACGATTGCTTGCTAGATGGCGCGTCACTTGTAGATTTGCATCTTCCATTTTTAATCCTTTTAATGGGTCTTAATAAATTGAAACATTTCATTTATATTAAATAGATATATAACTTCAAATGTGTAATAAGTTTAAAATAAAATTAATTACTAGAAATTTGAAAGATTATTACTTAATACTGCTAAATAATTTTATGAAATGCTGTTCTGTTTGCCAAAGGTAGATAGAACATTTAAAAACGTTTTCCTAGTTCCAAGCAATTCAGAAAAAGTAATTACTCGAAATCTAGGAGTTTTTTAATAATTTAATTACTAATAACATTCTACACAGAAGTAATTTCCTATTTCTATCAGTAATTTATTAAATAAATTCAAACTTGTAGCATACATCGCCATCTATTACACAAGAGTTGAACCAACTGCATAGCTAAGTATCGAACCGCTAATTAATTTATTCACGTTTCAGCAAGAAGAAAACAATAATGCGCCGACACCGAGCAACGAGGATTCCGTTCCTAATTCTCCTACCGACCAGAAGAGCTCGCAGGCGCTGCTCGAAATGCGAAAATTCACAATCGCGGCCGCGAATCCGATTCTAGCTGAGAAACTCTCCACGCCGAGCGAGCAGAACTTGACACAGCTCGCGAATGTTACCAACGGACTACGATCACAGCTGGCGCCACTGATACCGAAAATTGAGAAAGGTAAGATTTGATGGGAAAGTTTGAAGTTATTTTTATTGAACAAATAATAAAATACGTTTCTTGTTTTATTTAATTTTTAAGAATTGAGTGTTTTATATTGGTGTTTCCAGAGGATAAATAAGTTTTAAAGGCAAAAATATCGCTAGTTCTACTTATTTCAGACTTCAGTTGAGGTTTTTAATAAAAAAAAAGAAAATATTCAGTTCTAGTTACATAAAGTTGAATATTATATGTAGGTGATCATGAAAAGTTCATTATGTAACGTTACCAGTTGAGAAAATAATTATATTGTAGCAGGGTGGTCTTGAATGCTATGTATTTCGTAAGTTCGGAGAGCCCTTTTTATTTTTGGAAAGTATTAAAACTTAGTGGCATTAGTTTATTACACATTTAACAAATTAACAAAAAAAATTACATTTGACAATGAAAAGAAGTTAATTCATTAAATATAAAAGGCAAAAACAGAAAATATGGTACTCATTGCTTGAGTCTTAGGGTAGGCAACTTTATATACACATTGGTATATCGGGTTGTAGTAATACAAAATAAAAATAAACTATTTTTGGTGATTTTAATGTTAATAGACACATAAAGTATCTACATTGCTTTTGAAAATTTATATCAAGGGTGGTTGGCTATATAAAAATAGATTTTGTCAGGGCTGGTATATCTAAGGGGGTCGCGACATAGGAGTCCATTTTGAACGCCATTTTTTTCGAAATAGTAGTCGCCATTGATCTGGCAACGCGGCAACTTGTAGTCGCCAGGTTCACCAATATAAGAAAAAAAATCAATGTCATTTTTTAAATGACATTTCCATTATAAAATGCCCATATTTTTTAGGATAAAATATTTCAATTTAATAAATTATTAATCTCAGATGTACATAGAATACGTCGGGAAAAGTAGATCACTTTCAATTTTGTGCTGTTTTGGTTTTGTTTATTTTAAAAGGTAATTGAAGAGATGAAGACAATTTTCTTATAGATGATGCATAACAAATTATTGCTCTCTTTTTTAGAGCTCCAGTCCCTTAAGTCTATTTATTTTAGGTCTTTTTAAATTGTTGGTAGGTATTATTCACTTCATTTGTATGTTTTTAGTTAATTTAAATAATTTTGTGTAATATCTTGCGATTTTTTAAAGAATATATTTTTATTCAAAACTTTTGTGCTTCTACTCCAATACTAACCATATAGAAGCATATTATGCATTTTATAGTATTTGCAAGATTCGGATCAAATGTACCCACAATTTATAAAGATTATTAAACTAAAATAAAACATTTCAAACAACACCTGCTTTTATGTTAAATATGTTTTTATTAAATACACAAATTAGTCTCAACCACACATTTTTTTTTTGTTTTTACTTTTAGCGTAAAAGTGACTACTAATTCAGTCTTTCAAGTTTATTATTTATAGAGACCAGCTACTACAAAATATCTTATTGATGATAACTAATTTCTCTTTAATAATGGTTTTGCATTTATTAACATTTTACGGCACTTTGTTTATATGAAGCATCTATGTAACTCTTAATTAAATCACATTTAAATCAAGTAATTACATTTTCATATTCAATTTATGTATTCTTATTAGAACTTGGTCACTTTTTTTACTTTGAATCTTTTGACTGTGGTAACACTTAAAAATGTTGAAAGAGAATGTCATAAAGGTAAAATTCCTTCTTCTATCGTGTTTTTCATGCAATTTTAGGTTGTAAACGTTTTGTCCAACACATTTTTTACAATTTATCCCAAGCAACATTATGAAAGATTTAAATGCTGGATTTACAGCATTCAGTTTCGAGATGAGTGCAGTCACAATGTAGTTTAAGATATAATTTTCACATGAACACTTATTTACCACAGCACAAACGCATGTACCTATTCATGTAACATTAAAATAAAGTGGAAACAAATTGCATAATTTGGTATATAAAAAAGTACAAAATGTTTTTAGTTTTAATTGGACGTTGGACTACGACCACACTACACACTACGACTACGAGGAAAACAGTGGTTCATTCCACCCCACTTGTACCATATTGACATTATTATGCACGATGCTCGTTCAAACGAACATCAGAAAAGTGTTGCCAACTTAAGCTGACTACTATTTCCCCCCTAGCCTCAGTCACCCCCTCATCCATTTACTGGGTCTATGTCGCGACCCCCTTAGATATACCAGCCCTGGATTTTGTCAGTTAACTTACTATTAGGCATTCCAACGACCTGTCCAAATGGCTACCAGTGGGTAATGACAGTTTAGATATGGCAACCCTGTTGTCATGTTGTCATTAACAGGGTCATTGATACATATATAGTTATATAGATTGCTCAAAGCTGGTCGTTTACGAGCGGCCATATTGCCTGGCAAATATTTATTAATTTGAATCGGTTTAGCAAAAATGTGTTTTAAAACCAATTTTTAGCCTTTAGATATTTAAAAAAAAATAATTGCTTACATTTTTACTTCAAGGCATAAGCTTATATTTATTTTGAAAAATATGGATGATCAATCTATGTAACTATCTATTTCATTGACCTTGTCAAATCACCAGGCCTACAGGGTTGCCATAATTTTGCATATCATAACCCGTCAAAACCCACTGGTAGCCATTCAGTTTGGAATGCCTAATTCTGGTTCGATTGCTATTTTAAACAGTCTTGATCTACCCTAAACTTGCACAAAATTATTAAAACACTGTTTCATTCAATAAACAACACTGACATGACTTTATGGGGAAAAAAACTAAATATATCCTTTTAAATGTATTAGCAAAATAAGCCATTTTTTGGGAAACTAATAAGCTTTATCAAGAAAATGAAAACTGCTGATAAATACCTACACTCTAATGCAAATAAAACGCAACGCAAAAAATTTGGGTCCAATTGAAAGTGTGCGAGACCTCACAAAACGAACGAGTTATACAAAATAAAGCATTTCGTAAGATTGTTTCTAATTTTGACTAAATTATTTATAAAATTCTTACTAATTTTACTAATTCTTAATGTTTTATACTTTTAAACAAAATATTTGGATAATTGTTGGAAAATAAATGAATAACATTATTTGAGTGAACATAATTAAATATTTTTTAAAACAAAATATTAATTAATAATATTGTAGGCATGCTCGGTCAGTTGAATTTGAATAAAATTGTCTCTACGAGTATATGCAATCAGTATTACTTCCATTTGCAATGTTAGTTGCATAACTCTCATATGCACGTTTAGAAAATTATAATTATTCTCAATCACTTATCGGGATGGGTGGAAGTTAAAAAATAATTTATGGATGAGGAAATTTTTCGTTTCTCTACAATAAAGTGATGTTATTATCATGTTTTCAGAAAAAATGTTATGAAAATAAATAATTATTATAAGTAAAGTCAAATTCATAACTAATGACTAAGTTCATACCAGTCTGATAGTTTTAAATTACACTCAGATGCAGGGCCGCCGAGAGCCAGACCGGGCCACAGGACAATTCTCCAGATCGGGCCCCGCGACAATTTTATAAAAAATTAAATAAGAAAAGGTTTTCAAGCAAAAATTTCTTCTCCTCTACTTGAATCTCTCTCCCTCGTCTGTCGAACTTCTGAAAGTAACAAACTCAACCGCTGCTGGGCCCCCATTTGAGCCCGGGCCCCGGGAATTAGTCCCTGCATTGAAAGTGTTATAATTTTTTGTTTTTAATCTATTTCGATAAATTTTTTCGCACACTGTATATAATTTTATCAATTTTAGTTTGTGTATTCAGTATTTTCATAAAAATTAATATTTGACCTATTATACAGGGTTAATCGATGGGCTGGTTTTTACTCTAATTTTGAAACACCCTGTGGGATACTTAGATTAGATTTGTTAAGTATTGGACACTGAAACTTCTTCTAAAGATAAATTATTCTCCTTTTAAACGGAGGAGTTTATTGACATTACAAATTATATATTTTGACAAAAACATTCAAATAAAAATTGTTTAAATACAGGGTGATTTTTTTAACACTTCCCCTTACTCGAGTATGTTAAATTTAAAATTATAACTATGACATTTCTCTAAACTAATAATTACCAACATAGTCGAGTAGAGTTATAAAAATAAACATAAAAAAAAATAAATTAAATAACTATTTTGTCAAGTCCTATCTTTCCTACAAATTTTTCATGTTTTATTTTAGGAAGAGCTTTCGTAAATAAATCAGCTACTAACTCATTTGTGGTTTTATATTTAATAATAACTTGACCACTCTCAACAGCTTCTTTAACAAAATGATAATGTATATCAATATGTTTAGTTCGTTTAAACGCCTGATTATTAACAATCTTATGTGTACCCTGATTGTCATTATAAATGGTAATTGGTTCCTGTAAATTTATTAAACGTAATTCTGAAAATAAATTTCGTACAAACTTTGCTTCTTTTACAGCACTTCCTAAACTATAATATTCAGCTTCTGTACTTGAACATGCTACAGTTTGTTGTTTTCGAGATTCCCAATTTATTATAGAATTGCCAAATTTGCTTACAAGTCCCGTATAAGACCTTCTGTCATTGCTGTCTCCGCCCCAATCAGCGTCACATGATATTTCTATATTAGTCCCACTTTTACTATATAAAAGTCCATAATCAGATGTTCCAACCAAGTATCTCAATACTCGTTTTGCAGCTGTCCAGTGTGTTTTGTCGTAACAAGTGTTGTACTGACTTAATTTGCTACAAACATAAGCAATATCTGGACGAGTGCAGACCGCAAGATACATAATACCCCCAATTAACTCTTGGTATGGATATTTTGTATCACAACTTAAAGCTTTCTCTAGCTTTGAGTTAACATCCATGGGTGTTGATATTTTATGGCAATTTACCATTCCAAATCTATTTAACAAGAATTCCAAATATTATCCATATCTCAAAGTGGTCCGAAGTAGATTAAAGGGAAATAAAAGACTCAAAGTCTGTCGACCACATAAATTTATTCGGTTGGGTTGCAAG